CAGTTGCCCAATATGCTTTTTCCTCTTTTTGTATAGTAAAAATATTTGTCTTAGTTGCCTAGCTAAAGATCACATTTCCCAGAATCCTTTGCATCTGTCTGATGCAGATCCTAGCAAGTTTCTCAAAGCCTGTGTTTCAGGCAACGTTGAGTGCACCAGCATTTCCTCATGAGAAAAATGAGCAATATCCTCCGATTAACATTTACAGCCTCAGAAAAACTTTGGAGGGTTGTTGTGAGTCAGAACTTAGATGGCAATGAGTTTGATTTTTTAGCCAAAGAGGTTATATGTAGAAGTGATTTTTAACACTTCAAACACAACTGTAGCAGAAGTGTTTGTTCTCTTTGTCTCTAAAAAGAAAAGCTAGGAATCTTTGAAAAGTAACAACACATCCTAAGGAAGTCACACCTGATAACATTCTTCAAGAAGGGTTCCTGATTTGTTATGCAGTGAAACTGAGAAATGCATACTTATTTGATGGACCAGCACATGCAAATGAACACAATAATGATCGATCGTGCAATGGGAAAGTAATATGTATTTAGTGAGGCCAGCATGTGGAGGAGGTGTGGTTGAAGTGGGCCAAAAAGGGGTACAAGAGAGGTCTAAAGTATACAGTAAAGGAGCCTGGACATGATCCAGAAGGCAGTGAAAAGTCATTTCATAGAGAGAGTGCATTGCTTTGTGAAAGGTAACACGGTGTCACACAACTTTATTATTTCCTCTATCAGATTCTGTTTCTTGTGAAAAATCTGCTGCCTTTAATTCCGCTACAATAATGCAAGACTCCCTTAAGATTTTGAGACAATAAATCTTAAAGGAAGGAGACTACTCACTTTGCTCTTAAGAGCAGCAAATGGATTTGTTCCACTGACTGACCTTTCATTTAGTTGAACAAGAACCCACTTTGACAACCGAGCTTCTTTCTTGAGAAATTACTGCTTTTATAAAGTATTGTTAAGTCATACTGACTTATAGCTGACCCTCAGTGGGTTTTCAGAGGCAGTAAATTATACAGGATGATACTGTCCATCTTTCTTCCACAGAATAGCTGGTGAATTTGAACTGTGTGCCTCTGAGTTAGCGACTTTACTCCTTAACCACTTAGCCACCAGAGTTCATTCTCTTGAGGTACAGGAGTGGAATATTTATATTATCAAGACCCATCACATTATTTACCAGACAAAGGAAACAAAATGCTAGTTGTTGTTTTTCTTCTTTTCTTTCTGGTATTAAATTAGTTGTTAACTTATTTATTTTTTACTGCTGGTTTACTTAGAAAGTTTGTATA